ATTTTTTTTTTTTCATAGGGAACGTTAAAAAAAAAAAAGGCTTCTCGAGCTTGATTTTTTTTTTTACAAATATTTTTGATTAAACTTTCGTTTTATCGTATGTCAATTTTGATAATTATTGATTATCGATTTCCCAAAAGTAATTTTCGATTAAATCGAATCGTTTTAATCAATCAAAAAGAGTTTTTTAAAAAAAAAAAAAAGGTTCGTATTCGAAAGACACTAAACGAATGTTTTATTACTCTATGACAATTTTAAAAACGACCAAAAAAAATTTTTTTTTTTTTATTTCACGTACGGTAGGGACCGAGTAACGGATTAAGGAGAAAATAAAAGAATAATTGTATTCATTTGAATACAAAAAAAAAATCGGCAAATTTATTTAATATTAAAAACTCACCAATGACATAATTGCAACGAAACAATATAAACGGTCCTGATTATTTGAAAGGGTCACGTTTTCGTTGACAAATACCGGAAATAAGCTGTTGAAAATTAACAACAAAGGAAAATTATACTTGTCATATAACGTCAGAAATAGTTTTAACTAAACCTTCTTACAAGATGGGTGAGTTTACTAGAAGGTATTCGGATATAACCCTTTCTTTTTTTCAAGATATTTTATTCGAAGAAGATCCTCATGTTCATTTAAAAGCCGTTCAGGTACGTAAACACAAATTTAACGTTACAAAAGAAATTTCTTTTCCGTTTAACTTATTGTTTTTTTTTTTTTTTCAGGTATCTGAAGGATCGAGACGAGGAGACAATTACACATCGATGTTATATAGAGTAAAAACGATTGGTACTAAAAATTGCGAACCTTGGTCGAAATCATTCGTTTATAAATGCATACCATCGAGCAGAGTAAGAAGAGAAGCATTTAAATCCGAATCTCTTTTTCTCAACGAAGTTGCCTTTTACACGAAAGCACTTCCGGCACTACTAAAATTTCAATCATCGAGAGGTTGCAACGATTTTACGGAAATACCAAAAGTTTATTTTGCCAAAGAAAACGTTTTAGTTTTGGAAGATTTAAAAGAGCGACAATTCGTAATGGCCGATCGTAAAAAATTTTTTAACGTTGAACATTGCGAAGCCGTCGTCAAGTAAGTAATAATAATAATATTTGATGGTCAACCGTGACCGGTTGGAAAATTTTTCACTAAATTGTTTATTATTATTATTATTATTATTATTATTTCAGAGCTTTGGCCAAATTTCACGGATTATCATTGGCTATGAAAACGATCGAACCGGAGATTTTTCAAACGGAAGTTGTCAATTCCGTAACGGAATGTTTATTCAAATCCGAAAATGAAGAATGGTATCGTCAATATTATCAGACTGCGAGGAAAAACGCCATCGAATTCGTTAAAGAATGTCTTGTAACGGCAGAAGATAAAAAAAAATATTTAACGAAATTTCAACATTTTCTAGACGATTCTTTTTTCGACAGAATGGTCGATTTGGTACAACCAATCGAACCCGTTTCCGTTATTTGTCACGGTGATTGTTGGACAAACAACATTTTATTTAACTATTCCGATTCGGATGATACTATAAACAAGGTAAAACCGGATATCATTTTATTTTAAATTCCTTTCATCAAATAAACTGAAATTTTCCCCGTCGGGGGGCGGTGGGGGGCAAAATTTAGATTTGCTTTTTAGATTTTCAACTTGTTCGATACAGTTCATTCGCGTTGGATATAGTTAATTTTCTCTACATATGTACATCCCGAAATTTGAGATCATCTCACATGGATAATCTTATTTCCATATACGCGGAAACATTGGAAAAATTTTTGGAAAAGTTGGGATGTCCCAAAGGACCTTTCGATAATATTTCCGATACGTAAGTTTAATTTTGTTTTTTTTTTTTTTTTTAAATGTTGGCAACGCGGATTAATTTAATCGGTTTAAATAAAAGAATAAATAAAGAAATACATCGGTGTGGAAAATTCGGACTCGGTTTAGCCGTTGACATGATACCGATATCGACGTGCGATTCCGAACAGGCACCTGATTTATACATAGATTCAACAGAAGATGGAAATGACGAATCGGAAAAACCAGTTTGGACAAAAAATGAAGTCTGCCGTAAAAGAATGACGGATCTCGTTCAAGAATTAACCGATAAAAATGCACTATAAGAAGAAAAACTACATTTTTTTTTTTTCGAAAGTTTATAACAGGACACTAGGCTAGGTGGTAGGTAGGACCCCTCCCCCCCCCCGTCACAAAAGAGTGTCAGAGGAAAAATTTTATTTTTTTTTTTAAAAGCATCATTTTTCCATCTGTTATTGGTTACATCATTGCCAAAAATGTTACAACGATGTTGTTTCTCTTCTGCTCATGTTTAGGATTTTGGCAAATATCCCGATTCGTTTTTTTTTTTTTTCTATTCTATTCAAAAACTTCATATTTTTTATAATCTGACAAACAATAAATATTTAATTTTACTCAAAGTTAAAATTCCTAAGCCGTGTTTAATGATTTTATTTTTGTTATCGTCCTCCAATATCGTTTACTCTAACCATCAATTCAATATATCAATTCCCCCTTTTGAAGAAACAAACAACAACAATAATCCTTTGTCTATTCGTTACACGAAAAAACTCTTTTCTCTCTTCCAATCGGAAAAATGAAAAACCTTTTTCCGCGTAATCACATTTCAAAACATTTTGAAACAAACAACTCGTACTCGCGCGCGAGTTTAGGGTCTTTACGTCACTCGTATTAAATTCATGTCGGATGTGACGTCACGAAACGTCGTTACAAACAAACAAACAAAAAAATTTCTAATTAATTTTTAATAAAATAATAATAATAATAATAACGATGACGTAGTAGTATATAAATTTATATTTACGCAACGTATGATATCAACGACAGCAGAAAAAATAATAATAATAATAATAATAGGATTTATTATTATTATTATTAATACGCAAAATGAAAAATTAATAATCTTCAAAAAAAAAAAAATTATAAAATGACGATTCGAATCGTAAGTTAAACATCGTAAACTATCGTTTTCTTGTTTATATGAAAGAGGCTCGCAAATGTTTTGGGTTGTTAACGAAGCTTTTTTTAAATTCAAAAAAATTTTTTTTTTTTTGCCAAACGTTGAGCTTACGTTAAAACAAAAAATTTTCTTTTATTTAAATTATCCCTTCCCCCCACCCCACATTTTTAAAGAAAAAAAAGGGGGCAAAAACAAATTCTCAAAATAAAAAAAAAAAAGTTTTTATTTAAATTTATAAAGAGAAAAAACTATTCAGTCTTCAAAATCGAACGAACATCGGCGGATTGGGGTTTTTTTGTTTTGGTTTTTGGTTTTTTTTTTTTTTAAATAAAACAAAAATAAAAGGGATTTAAATTGTCATTTAAAATACAAAAAAAATTTCAATTTATATTGTTTTTTAAAAAAGAAAATTAATTAAAAATGGTGTACGAATCTGATTTTTACACGACTAGACGTCCCTACAGCAGGCCAACCGTTACTTCATATTCAGTTACGGTGAGTAAATAAAAATAAAAAATTTCAATTAATAAAATTTTCCATTATTATTATTATTATTAACTCCACGTCATATGCTTTTCAATCAATTCGAAAAAAAATTTTCCTTTTTTGTTGTTGTAAAGGAAAAAGGTAAGAATGAAAAAATTTTTTTTTTCGTTTTTCATACTCATCAGTGATTTTAAATAACCGTAACCGTTTTTTTTAAAATAAAATTTCAAATTTTTGTTTCGAACGTATAAAAAACTTTAATAAATTCTGCAAAAATGTGACGTATATTATTAATAAATAAATAAAGAATCCATTTCGGTTTGAGATAAAATAAAATAAAAATTTTTTCGGGGCCCTACCCATTCGTTTGTTTTGTGTTTTCAATTGCGAAAATTATTTATTAATTAAATTAAATCGATTTATTTATTTATTTATTTTTATGTATCTATTCGAAATGATTATTAACCGTGTGACGAAATAGAAAAAAAAGTTTTAAAGTTTTTTCTCGAAAAATTTATTTAAATAAACATTAAATTAATAATTTTTTCGAAACGTATTATTAACGAACGAACGAACGAACGTTTCGAATGCGTCCAAATTTAGAATCGTGTGAGTGCGTTCTCGAATTCTTCTTTTTCCTTTTCTTTCCCCTTCCCATTGGTTTAATTCTATTCTTTAGGGAATCGTAAGAAGACCATGGATCATCGCTTGTTTAATATAAACGAACAAGTTTTTTTTTTCGATTTGAATTGAAAAAAAAAAAAAAAAATTTTTCCCAACGGAAATTTAAAACTTCTGAATGGACTCTCACTCCCTCCCCTACCCTTCACGCTACCCCAACCCACTCTCGCGGATATTTTTTTTAAAATTTTATTTCAATTAAATATTTAAACGAACAATCGGAACCGCCATTTTTCGCCATTTTTTTTTTGTAAAAAATTTATTTATTTCTCCCCCCGTTTTAATAATTTATGTACGATTTTAATTTATTTATTATTATTATCATTATTATCATTATTACAGTTTTTATAATAAAATGTTTATTTATTGATTGACCTTTGACATTAAACGTATTTATTTACAGAACGATAATGATGATAATAACATATATATTTTCAGAGAGAGAGAGAGAGAGAGAGGGAAAAGTGTTATAATTTTTTTTTTAATCGCAGTTTAAACGAAAAAACTAATTTATGGAGAAAGGAAAGGAAAAGAAAAAACGATTTGAGCGTGAATTAAAACAAAAAAAAAAAAAAAGAATTTTGATGCGGCCATTTTGTTTTTTTTTTTTTTTTTTCGCGGTCGTGCAAAATAAAAAAAAATTTTTTTTTTGTTTTTAGGGCAGTAATAAACACAAGCGTGGGCACAAAAAGAAAATTTTTTTTTTTTTAAAATTTAATTTAAAATCTCATTTTCTTTTTGTTATTGCAAAAATAATCTTTTTTTTTTTTTAAACAATTGACGTCATCAATTACCAGAAGAAAAAAAAAAATTCGGCGCAAAATAAATTTTTTTTTTTTTTTTTAAATTATATTTTAGGTCCGCCGCGAATTCCCCCCCCCCCAAAAAAAAAAAAAAAAAAAAAAAAAAAAAAAATTACGGGCTTTATTTTTTACAATATTTTTGTGTCTAAGGACCCGACAAAATTTTTTACAAATTCCCTTTTTTTTTTTTGTTTATAAATCGAAACGCCATTTTTAATTTCGATTGAAATTTTTTTTTTTTTTTTAAATAATTTATTATTCAAAATTAACGTGGGATTAGAGAGAGAGAGAGAGAGAAAACGACGAAATCAATATTATTATTATTATTATTATCAATTATAAAAAGAATTTGAAAATAAATTTTCATTTATTTATTGTAATAAATGTATTACGACCTAATTTTTTTTTTAGAATGAAAAATTTATTGATTCTATTATTAATAAAAATGCATTTTTGTAATTTTACGATTGGCTGCCAAAAATTAATAATAATAATAATAATAATAATAGTAATAATAATAATAATAATAATTTCAGTTCAGGAGAAAAAAAAATAAAAAAAGGTAACCCAATTTAAATAGTATTAAGCTTACGATGAAAGTGTAACGGTTTTTTTCGAAAATTATTATTATAATTTTTTTTTTTTTTATTTGCTGTCGTTTACTGTCGTTTGCTGTAGTTTACCTACATATGACGAAATTGCGAACGTTTTTTTTTTTTAATTTAATAAATTATATTAATCGTATCGCGTTCGTAGGCGTTCGAATATTTAAAAAAAACGTAACCGACCCGAATTTTTTTTTTTGCAAATTTTTATCCGTTAAAAAATTTTTCTATTAGAGAGAGAGAGAGAGAGGGAGAAAAAAAACAACTTTTGAAAATATTATTCCGATTAAAAAAAAAAAAAAAACGAAACTTGAAAATTTATAATAATGGGGAGGAAAAAAAAAAAAAGAAAAAGTTTTTAGACTTTCCCGACGCCATTTTAAAAAAAAAACTAACAAACAAACGAACAAACGACCTGCGACCGTCGACCTTTTCACATTCGCCTACGTAAATCATTTTCGGCCCATTTCATATTCGATTCGTTATTTAAATACAAAGGTGTGCCAACCTAAAAAAAAAAAACGTTTTCTGCTTCTTTTCTTTTTTTTTGCATAAATGTACCGACAAAATTTTTTTTACGTCGTTTGTTATAAAAATTAACAACATGGCGGAAAAAAGCAAAACCGAAATTTTTCCGATTTAATCAAAATCATTCAAAACAAATATTGTACGCATAATCATTGACGCATTTACGCACTCACGCACAAGAGGAGGAGTAGGAGGAAAAAAATGCGTAGAAATTTTTAATTAATGAATCTCCCACACAAAAAAAATTTTTTTTGTTTTTTTTTTCAAAAATAATATTTTTCATTAAAATTTTTGGCAAAAGATTTTTCTGATATGATGATGACTATGACGACGATGTTGATGATAACAATGATGATGATGATGATGATGATGATGATAAAGAGGTGAATAAACCGTTTTTTTTTTTAAATTGGGTTATTCTTCTGGAACGTCGTGATTTTAAAATAAACTTAATAATGATTTATTTTATGTAAAAAAAAAAAATTAAATGAGATCTGGAAATAAAAACAAGTCTCGTGACACGATCGTTCATACATATATATTTCCCATTGCCCAAAAGCCCTCCCCCCCCTCCGCGAAAACTCGTGAGAATTTTTCAATTATGTAAGGAAGTGAATGGAACAAAAATGTGAAAATTTTAATTCCACGAAAAAAAATGGCGGTAAATGCTGATGTAACCGTTCGGTAATTCATCGTTTTTGAAAAAAATTTTTTTTTTTTTCGCTCCAGCGAACGTGAACAACGTAGTAGTGCCAACGTTTTTTTTTTTTTTTAATTTTCCAGTACTGGTCAAAACAACTTTTTTTTTTTTTTTTATTTTTATGATCAATTATTTCGCTTCTTTTGGAAAAGGCACGCGATTGCAAATTTTTTTTTTTTTTTGTAGGTAGCACAAGTAGTTTGGCACGTTACTTTTACTTTTTTTTTTTTTTGTAAAAAAAAAAAAACTTTCCGCACAAATTAATTAAATTTGATAAAACCTATTTGCAGAGACGTGAAGTTCCGTGGCATTTGGTACCGAACGTTCCTCGACCCAGTCAAGTGCCTCCTTGTTACACGGCATTTGGGTCCAAAGGTTTTCCGGTATGCAAAGAGGGGGCTGTTACTTGCTGTTCGCGACCTGCAAGAACGCACCGAAGATACCTCTACGCCACACTCTACTAATCCCAAGACACAATAAATAAAAACAAACGACAAATCATTATTATTATTATTACATTTCGTCAATTAGTCTATTTACATAGATTTTTTTTAAATGTGCACGTGGTGGTACGACACTCATAATCTAAAGTTCTAGAAAAATCTATCAAACAAACGTAACAGAATTCAAAAACATGACAAAAATTCGATCATACAACCGATACCTGAAAATTCATCATCATCGACCTTTGATCTAAAAAAAAAAAAGAAAACTCGATCGAAACTCTCGTTTTTGTTGTTTTCTTACTCTATGACACCATTTAAAAAAAAAAAATCTTTCAAGTTTTCACAACCTTTTTCTTTTTTTTTGCACGCACGGTTTATTACGTAAAATATTTTGATTTTGTGAAAGTATAATTGTTGGGGAAGGAACAATCATTGAGATACGTTATCAAAGCTTATCACGTACCTTAAAAAAAAACGGTTAGCAGAAGACGAACGATAGGAATTATATAAATTATCGATTGTGATAACGAGGTGGTATCGTTATTACGTATAAAACCGACCTTTTACGATCGGATTAATCATGTTAATATATATATATATTTAACGAATGCTTTCTCGAAAAAAAAAAAAAAAAATTCTACTACCACGTTTATGAGGATTTATTTTTTTAATTGTCTCTTATAACAATAATATTACCACGTGTAACTCGCACACGCATACATTTGTGCCTTTTTTTTGTATATTCCGTTGAGTGTTACTTTATAATGACCTAATATATCATCTAAACGCACGTCTTTTTTTTATAAAACGTTTTAAATTATGACACTTTAAAAAAAAAAAAAAAACCTAAAAATACTTTTTGAAAGTGTTTTTCTTTTTCTTCTCTGATTTTCAATTGAAATTCCTTTTTTTTCCTATTTCCCACCCCCCTATCCCCCCCCCAAAAAAAAAAAGAACTTATTTTTTTATAAATTCTTAAATGAATGAATGCGTAGGTGTTGGCCATTGTGTGATTTTTTTTTTCTTATGGATATCGGTCAAGGGTTCGATTTCACAAAAAAATAAAAATATTTTTACAGGGGGGAGTGAGGGAGCGGGGAAGGGGGCTTTAATGGAAACGCTAGCGACAATAATGATGATTATGATTTAAAAAAAAAAAAAAAAAAAAAACGTAATTTGTAAAAAACAAAATAAATAAATAAATAAATTGTTGTTACAGTCTTTCGCCAAATTTTCTATTCGGATCATTTAAATTTAAATTATTTGGCACAAAAAAATAGGAATAATAATAATAATAATAAAATCATGTAAAATAAACCCACGGAAATATTTTTTTGGCTGCGAAATTTTTTTTTTTTTTTTTTAAATTTGTCACCTGCTGGAAGTAAATCAGTGTAATTTACTCTCAACAGAAAAAATTTTTGCAGAATTTAATAAGTAAATAAATAAATAAAGTAAAAACAATATGGCGGACGCGATTCAAACTAACGTCATCATCATCATCATCATTTTCATCTTCATCTTCTAGCGATTAATATTTTTTATCTTTTGAAAATTTTATTAATGTCAAAATTAATCTTTTTAATTTTTTCTATCTACGTATGCATTCATACGTGGCAAATGTATTTTGTCGTCTGCTTTTTCTTACACAATTTAAAAAAAAAAAATTAAATTTTGAAAATTCTCATAAAATCATTTCGTTTGTTTTCGGTTTCTTCTTTTCCTTCTTCTTATTACGTATAAATATTTAAAACATTTTCAAATGTTCTTATTTTTGTTCTATAAAAATTATAGTGCTATAATTTTCTTCTTTTTTTTAAAATAACTATAATTATGAAAAATGGAAGAAGGTAAGTGACGTTATATAATAAAATTTAAAAATTTTAATGGCTGACATCCTGTAAACATTATGAAAACCTAAAAATGTAATTTTAACGCATTTAAAATACTTTTCGTTTTCTTTCTTCTTCTTCTTCTTTCTCTCTCTTTTCGGGGGCAAAAAGGTTACGTAACGTACGCATGCGTAGGAGAAAGGTCGAACCTTAAAAGGTAAGTAGTTTCCCCCACTCCAACCCACCCGAAAAAAAAATTTTTTTTATGAAATAAATTTAAAAAAAATTATTTTTTCCTTCTACGCGAACGAAATTATTTAAAAAAAAAAAAAAATGAATAATAATAATGCAATTGTGAAAGTGGGATTGAGATAGACGTGTCAGCAGATGAATGATAACATGATTACGATTAAAAAAAAATGAATTTAATGAAAGATTAATTACCTTTCGTATATTTCGCCCTCGGGTACCCCGTCGTCGTCATTATTTGAAAGTTGAAATTTTTTTTTAAACGAAAAGTTTTTCTTCATTGACCGCCATTTTCTTTTTTTTTTTTTTTTTAGTATGTTTTTATGAATAAAAATAAATTAAACAATAGTTATGTATTTTTTAAAAATAGAAATTGTTTAATTTATTTGTCAGAATGTTATTTATTTGTTATGATTTACCCGAAACCAAAAAAAAAAAAAACCACTTATCTGACACCCTCGCCGGCCGATTCCCATTTATTATTATTATTATTATTATTTATAAAAAGGGGGTGTAGATAGGTGACGTCATTTGGGGTAAACACAATAGATATATATATATATGATTTTAATTAATTAAATTTTGATTTTGATTATTATTATTATTATTATTTACAAACAGACCCCTAGACATTACGTCGTGTTGGACACTCCGGATCGCCCGAGACGAGCTGAAGAGCAGTATTCCTACTCCTACACCCAAGAATCCAGGGAAAACCGTTATGACTCTTCCTCTCCTTACTCGGTACCAAGCAGAACATATTCCTCTAGCACAGAGAGAGTATCCCGATCCACAGGAGGTCCCGGTAGTTACAACTACACCACCGAAAGATCTTCCAGGTCCTCCGATGCACCTGGCGGATATCATTCCTCTTACAGTTCCACAACATCTGGACGTCTTCCCGGCGGTACGACGTACCGTCATTATTCCTACCGCGTTTAACCCCCAATAATAAAAAAAGTTTTTTTTCTTTCTTTTTTCTTGAGTTTTACGTGTTGCTTTCTTTAAACTGATTATACTTGTTTCACTATTTTTTTTTTCTTTTTTTCGTTCTCCCCATTTTCTTATTTATTTATTAAATAAATATTCGAGTGTCCTAGTAATTAATTATTTATTTATTTATTTAAATATTTTGATTCGATTTTTTTTTTTTGTTTATTTAGAATAGATTCTCTATATTCCGGGCTTTCGCCCCATATGACGTCACTTTTTCTCTTCTTTTAATTCTGTTTATTAATATTTTTTTTGCATCACTCTTTTTTTTTTTTTATTTTTTATTTTATAAATATACGTAACACACTAATATTTCCTTTTTTCTTATTAACCTTATTATTATTATTATTATTATTTTTGTTAAAAAAAAAAAAAAAACCTTTTTTTTCATCTTCTTCCTTTTCCTATGCACTGCTTCGCAATATGGAATTTTTCAAACATGGAGTCATCTCTTCTTGTTGTCAAACAGTGTATATTTTGAACAAATGGAAGAATGAATGAATGGATCTCAAGTTGAGTAAGTTGTTTTTTTTTTAAATATTTTTTTGTACACGTCCGTTTTTTCAGGTTGTGAAAAATTTTTTAGGTTTCACGATAGGAGGGAGACCCTCAGGTTTTCCATATATCGCGTGTTAAAAAGATAGTAAAAAAAAAAAAAAAAAACATTTCGAAAGTAAAAACAAAAACGCTGGAAAGTTTTTAAAGTTAAACTCGATCGAATGATTTTTTTTTTTTTTTTATGTTCGGTTATAAAAAAAAAAAAAACGAAAGAATTGGAATAGCGTGATCATCCTAATGATTTTTAAATTTAATAGGTACAGCCTTACCATAAAAACATACCGTATATTGGTCATAAAAGGCTGGTTATAGTTCAACCGTCTACTCACGGCTGGCGACCTAAACATGCGGCTCTTATTGGTGAAATGGATAGAATCTATCATAAGGTTCGTCCATCATTGGCTTATCAACCAACAGAAGATTATTTAAACTCGAGATCTATTCTGGTAAGATATCAATTTTCTATTTCTTAACAAATCTCTCTCTCTCTCTCTCTCTCTTCCATCACATTCGGCCCCGTTTTTTCATTTTTCCCAGGCTCGAAAAATTATTAATTGCAAAAAACAAAACAAAACAACCGGAAATCAAAGGAATCGTACCTACATTTATGCGAAGGTTTTTTTTTTTTAATTACAACTAACTTAATTTTAGAGTTTCACTGTTATTAAAAAAAGAGAAAGTGGGCAAACACAATTTTTGGAAAATTATTTATTTATTTATTTATTGTTTGTCTTTCAATTCACATAAAATCCGCTTTTAAACGGGAGGAGAGAGTAAAGAGATGAGGGGGTTAGAAATTTTTAAAGAGTCATCATCGTTCCAGTTTAAAAAAAAAAAAATAATAATAATAGTTTCCTTTTTTTCTTTTTAGTCATTTGATGATGAAACTCGTTCGATAAGAGCTAAAACGGCTGAAATTTTGAAGAGGATTCACACCCCAGTCCCCCGTGCTCAAAGACCTCTACCATTACCCGGAGAGTAAGTTAAAAGTTTCCCTCCCCCCCTCCCCCCATTTGATGGATTCATTGAATTTTTCTTTTGGGGAAAAAAAAAATTATTCCCAAATCAATTTCAACAACAACAACAACAACCGATGATAGTCAGTTTCCTCCGTAACGAATTTACTTTAATTACGTAATTATTTTTAAAAAAAAATTTTGAGAATATTTATTTTACGGATGACGACTACCGGAACTTTGTCGGCAAACAACACAACAAACAAATTGCGAATTGAATTCAGGTTCACGAGACGGCTTTAAGTCACGTATCGCAAAAAAAAAAAAAAAAAAAAAAAATTTCAATTTGTGACCATGTCAACTTTTTTTACATAAATTTTCTTATTTTTGATTAAATGCCATGAGAGCAAGCAAGCAAGCAAGCACAATAGCAAATCGTTCGACGAAGGAACAAACAAACAAACAAACGAACCAATTGGACGCCATCCAATTGGTAAACCGTCAAAAAAATTGGGTCAAAATTAAGATTGGCATTTCAAGAGCGTAAATAACAAACAAACAAACAAACAACTCTTCCAGTTCGGTTCGAATGTCTTTTTAAATAAAAACGCGCACACACGCAAGACGTTCGATAACATGGGTTTCCTTTATCGATCGATTTAAAAAAGGGAAATCGAATCGATAATTAATCGATTAATGCCACGTTTTTTTTTTTTTTTTTTTTTCAGCTTGTACTACAGTCACACCGAGCTTCCAATAACAGAGAGGATAACATCAAATAATTATATTGATCGCCTTCTTTCATCGTTTGGTAATCATCATCCCGTCACCATACAAGTTTATCCAGAGCCCAGACAATACAGCAGACTAGGTAACAAAAAAAAAATATAAAAAACCCGAGTCCCCCCATCGTCGTCGTAAAAACTTTAAAGATTTTTAATTTTTTTTTTCTATTCTTTTACGTATGATGGCAGGCAATAGTCATCTTGCGTGTTTAACTTATGCCGGTGGCAGACCGATTTTAAGAAGGAGAAATCTCGCATCCGCAGATTCTGATTACATCAAAGATGACATAAACGTACTTTCGTATTACAACAGATTTAGGCAAGCAGCCGAAAAGGCAACGCATCAACCCGATGGAGGTACGAAAATTTTTCCTTTTTTTTTTTTTTAAGGTTACAAAAAAAAAAAAAAATGTCTGACACGTTCCAGTAAAAGTATATACACCGTGACACGTGATTAATATAAACAAACAACAAATTAATAGTTCTTGGGTTTCTCTCTCTTTCTCTCTCTCTCTTTTTTTTTTTTTTTAAAAAAAACCCCCATTTCACGTACCTTTAAGTACCTGTTTTGCGTACCTATTACCACCGCTATACATAGCGATTTACTAACATTTACATATATAATTAAAGCATTAAAAAAAAAACGAAAAATCGTTTTAAATATTAAACTATTTTTTTTTTTTTTTAACGACCTTTGACCCTCTTTCTTTATTATATAAATATTATTGTTGTTGTTATTACTATTAAACAAACATTTATTTAAATTATTATTATTATTACTCAAAGTTACGTAAAACGTTATTATTATTATTATTATTATTTTTCTTTTTAAATTTCCGTTCGGGCGGGATACATAAAATAGAAAAAAATTTTTTTTTTTTTTTTTTAATCGTGATTTACGGATAATTGAATCATTTTATTTATAAAAAAAAAAAAAAAAAAGTTTTCTTTTCTCATTGATAAGTACAAGAAAAAAAAAAAAAAACAAAATGGCGTCTCCCCCCAAGACTCGGACGAAACGACTTACGTAATTTTTTATGGAATCGTAAAAATAAATAAAATATTATTACTTTTAAGTTGAAGGCAATTAATTTTTTATTATTGCTATTATTATTATTATTATTATTATTATTATTATTATTATTATTATTATTATTATCATCAATCATTTAAAAATAGAAAAAAATCGTTTTTATTTATTTATTAATTGATTTTTTTTAATGCTTTAATAATGTTTTAGTGAATTTTTTTTTTTAAATTTACTTCAACAAACAACAAAACATGGCCCTCGTTGTTTTTAAAATTGTACAAAAAATTATCATTATTATTATTATTATTAATATTATTATTAGTATTATTATTTTTGTTGCTGTCTTTTTTTTTTTTTTTTAAAGTTTTCTTGGTGTTGCTTTTACTTTTTTTTCGGTCCGAATGAAAAAAGAAAAAAATTTTAATCCTAAATTAATTTAGGGGGGGACAGAAAGGGGGGCTTAACATTTACACGTCACGTTAACAAATACGATGAAGGAAAACACACGCACACGCATACATACATACATAAACAAATGCGTACATGTAAATATTTTGTTTTTTTTTTTTTTAATTTGTTGCTTCTTACAGGGACCGAAGAAAAGGTTGAGGCATAAAATTTGTCTTTCTCTCTCACACTCACATCTTCTATCGTCTATCATTTTTCTTATTTTGTCTTTCCTGTCTCTGTCTTTTTTTATTTTTTATATGCTTTTGTTTTTTTTTTTGTTTTTTTTTTTTTTGATTTTTTTGATTTTTGACTTAAAAGGCGTTTTTTAGAATTTTTTTGTTTATATACACGCGTTTGAAAATGACAAATTTTCCGGGTTTTCCTTTTTTTTTGGCAACAAAAACAAATCCCCTTCCCCACCTTCCCGTCCTCCTCCTCCTACTCCTCCTCTTCTCTTTTTCTATCGAAATTTCGAAAAAAAAATTAAAATTAAATGACGACGACGGCTACGACGTCGTAGTCGTCGTCGTATTATTATTATTATTTTCGTCGGATAATTTTTCTGTTTTCGCAACAGAAAAAAAAAAAAACTGTCTGGAAAAGTTTTTTTTAAAAAAAAAAAACCTTAATGTTTTTTTTCTTGAGCCATTATTATTGCTGTTGGCACTGATAATGTCACTCCTGTTGATGTTATTTAAACCGTTAAAATGAATTTAAATAAAAAAAAAAAATTTCTTTCGTATAATTTAAAAACTTTTTTTCGATTCGAAATTATTATTATTATTATTTTTCGAAATAGGGGGGGGGGGGGGGGGAGTAGATGAAATAAAAAAAAAAAAAATGGCCAATCCGTCGTCCCACGATTGAAATTTAACAAAAAAAAAAAAAACTAAAAAAAAAAAAAAAAAAAACGTGCTGCCGTCAACCACTTCAAATTTCCATCGCCCCCCACTTTTCCTTCCCTACCGTTCCCCCCAAATAAAAATCAGGTCGATTAACCTAGAAATTTCTTTCCATTTTTTTTTTTTTTTTTTTGTGTGTAAAGGAAAGAAAAACTTTAAAAAAAAAAAAAAAAATGCAAACGTATCACTAAATTTTGTTTTTTACAAAATATCCGGACGACTTATATTGAGTGTCAATTATTTAATGTAAACGAATTCGAAATTTGATTCTTGGACAAATATTTAACCTAAAACATAATCAGGTTTTTATTTTAAATTCTTAATACAATCGTATCATTTTTTTTTTGTTTTTGTTGTTGTTGTCATTGGCAAACCGGAAAATATCATTTTCAAAATGAAATCCAAGGGAAGGGGAAACTTTAAAAAAATTGCATGATTTTTCTTTGCTTTTGATAAAAAAAAAAAAAAAAAACGATTTCCTCCAATGGTTTTATTATTATTATTATTATTATTATTAAATTACCCATTCGTAATTTCATCATTCGTCACACTTTCCTTTTCTTCCACACTTTTTATTTCCGTTTAACCTTTTTTTTGCGGATGGTATCCAAGTGGATAATGGAACGAACTAAGCAATTTTTCGACGTTTGAAAAGTGAGTATATATATATACTGTCTTAATATATAAAAATTATTTTTAAAAAACGAGACATTAACGGCAGAAAAGTAACAAAAAAAAAAAGGCAACAAACGGGAAAATTTGTTTTGCTTAAAAACTTGATTGCCGTGATTTGACAATGAAATATACCCCCCGGTTGTCGGCATGTATATAATCGATAATAAAAATAAATCAAAATCTTGTTTGTTGTTGTTTACACACGATAATTAATAATAATTATCCGAAAAAAAAAAATCGCGCCTAAAATCGATGCCTTTTGTTTTTTGCCCAAAAAACTCCGACGGAGCTTTGAACTCCAGGAGTACCGATCGAATGACGTCATTAAATGTAAAATTTTTTTCCAGAATTCGGTTCAGTTTCACATCCACCCCCTAGCAAATCTCCAGTAACTGGATCATGGAAATCTAATGCACCGCGTCGTACACAATCTGATAAGGTATAAAATGTTCAGAAGCGAAAACAACGAGCACTTTTCCTTTTTTTCCTTTGATTATATTTACAAAATTTAAAAAACAAAACAAGAAAAAATTTCTGTGGAAAATTAGGAACATCCAAACGTTTTTAAAGAAAATTTTTTTTTATTAATTGGTTTGACAGGTTTTCACGAAACCGAGTGCCGACGGCGAGTCTGATTCTACACCGATGAGAAAAAAAACCAGGCGTGAAATTTTAGAAGAAGAAGCTTTAAAAGAAGCACAAGAAGAAAAACGTCGAAATCAAGAGCTTAAACTCCAAGAAGATTTGGCTAATAAAGCAGAGGCCGAAAGACAATCGGAACTCGATGAAAAAGCACAAAAAGAAGAAGAAGAACGATTATTAAGAGAAGAAAATGAAAAATTAGAAGCCGTTAAAAGAGCAGAAGAAGAAGAAAAACGAAAAGCCAAAGAGGAGGAAGAAGCTAGATTAGCCGAATTAGAAAGGGAACGTCAAGAAAAAGAAGCTGAAGAAAAACGAAAGGCCGAAGAAGAAGCAGAGCGTAAAGCCGAAGAAGAACGACTGGCGAAAGAAGAAGCTGAGAGAAAAGCCGAAGAAGAACGATTAGCTAGGGAAGAAGAAGAAAGGAAATTAAAAGAGGAAGAAGAACAGAGATTAAAAGAAGAAGAAGAAGAAGAACGGAGATTAAAAGAAGAAGAAGAACGAAGGTTGAAAGAAGAGGAAGAGCAAAGATTAAAAGAAGAAGAAGAGCAAAGATTAAAAGAAGAACAACAACAACAAGAAGGAGAAGAAGAAGTTGTCGGAGATGTCGAAGAAGCTGAAGAAAATGACAACAAAGACGACAATGCGGAAATGGAAGAATTATCAAAAAACATAGACGATAATGCATCCATAGCTGAAGAAATCGAAGCTGAACCTCTTGTTGACGAACCTAGCGAAATACCTGGAAAAACAAATGTAGAAGACGAAGAGAACGAAGAAGAAGAAGAAGAAGAAGTGGAAGAAGACGCTGAATAACAGTAATAATAATAATAATATAAAAACATCAAACGTCCAAGAGAAGCCATTTTCCAATATTTAAATAATTTTCAAGTTTTTAAAATAAAAAGAAAACTTTTTTTTGAAAAGCTTTTTTAAATTTGGTAAATTGGCATCGAGGAAAAGCAGAAGAAAAGAAAAAAAAAACTGTTAACGTAAATTTTCAAATTTAAATTATTTTAATCAAACATGTCAAACATCAAAACTGTCACTGCAACATCAATATTTATAAGCTAAACACCAAAAGGGAGGGAGAGGGGAGGGTAATTACATTAAATGGGGAGGGGGGAAGGCGCCTTTTAATAAATTTTTGCCGTTTTAACTTTTAATAAAAAAAAAAATAATAATAATAATAATTTATGTATCCTCACTGTTTTAACTTATTTTGTTTTTATGCAAATATAATTATTTATTTATTTATTTAATTAATAAAATTTTTCTTTTTCGTTTATCCAATATTTTAACAACAACAATAAATTTTTTTAAAAAAATGTTTTAACAATTTATGTTTGTACGTTTGTAAATGAGCTTACAAAAACAAACCGTTATGAAACAAAACCGAAAACATATCGGCATAGGAGAAAACATAAAAACATTATTAAACAAATTTGCAAAATAAACAAAATTAGAATGCGGAAAAATTTTTAATCCGAAATAAATAAATAAATAAATAATAACAGGAAAACGTTTTTAAAAAAGAAAAAAAAAATCAAAAACTACTTACGATATTCATAAATGATGATGACGCTTCATAAAAAAGGATAAAGATATGAGTCTGGCATTTATAAAAAGGATTAAACGAATGATGGAAAAAAAAATGTTAAAAAAGGGGGAAAAAATAGGATTTACAACTCATTCGATTTAAAAAAACTAAAACTAAAACTTTAAAATTATTAATTTTGTACAAAACAACAAACAAAAACAATAGAAAATGGATTAAAACTAAAAAAAACTGTCACGAAAAACGAAAAATGTGTTCCAAACATTCGATTCACCCTTCGAAATAAAACGAACAAAATTTTACAATAATGCCAACAGGATTTTATAAAAACGAAAAAAAAAATTTAAATTGGCGCCAAATTTAAAAATTAATTTTATATGATTATTTTATTTGCAAAATTTTTTTTTTTTTATTCGGCTTAAATATGCATAAAATTATAACTTCAACAATTAAAAAAAAAAGAGATAAAAAAACTTTTTGTTCCTTTCGTTTCATTTCTTATCGTTTTTTTTTTTTTCCTTTCCATTGTTGTCCTCACCTTTCCCCTCCCCTCCTTTTTTTTTCTTCTTTTTTTTTCCCCTCTTCCAGACGCTCCTGACCTTAGAGAAATGCTTATAAACAATTGAAGGAAATTTTAGAAGGCGGTGACGAAAAACATCATAAGTAATTTTCTCATTCGAACGAATGTTATTCGCGTCCGAGTCTCAGTTTGCGACGAACACTGCAACGAGTGAGACCGTTTTCATTTTCACTCTTTAATTTTATTTCATTTTGTTTTATTTTATTTTTTTTGAATTAAAACAAAAACTCGCGAAAGTTTTTTTTATTTTTACTTAAAAATAAGTTTATTAAGTACATCAGACTACATAAAGTAAGTAATTAATAATTAATAATTAATAACATAATTCAAACTAACAAAAAATTACGTAAACGATTTTCAAAAAAATGTAACGGAAAATGGAACGAACCTTTTGGGACGCCATATTTCTTTTTTTTTTTTCAAAAAAAAATTTTTAACACGGAAAGTTTACTTTTTCATTGAAAAGGTTTCTTTTTTTAATTTGTAAATTAAAAATAAAATAATAATAATAATAATAATAATAATATCGATTTTTTAAAGTGTTAGTTTTTGCAAAATATATAGTTTTTTCACCCTTTGCAAAAAAAAAAAATTAAAGTGCAGGAGCTTAAAAAGTTTTTTTCTAATGTGACGCCATTTAAAATTTTTACGTCATACTTCACTCATCATTCGAATAAATTTTTTTTTTTTTTTATATCAGGTTAAATTAAAATAAAAAAAAATTCCCTTCCGAAAATAATTTCATTTAATACATTAAAAAAAGAAATGGCGTTCTCGTGAAATTTTTCCCTTTTTTTAATTTAAAAATTCTCACGCCCGAATAAAAAGGGGGAAAAAAAATTTATTTTAATTAATTAATCGACAGTAATTAAAATGGCGTTTAATTTAAATTTTTATTCGTAACGTTTTTTTTTTTTTTTTTTTGATTCGAATTCCCTTCTCGTCGGGTTATGTACGTTTCCCAATATTATTATTATTATTATTTTAAATGATGTTTTAACGGTTTTATCCTTAAAAAAATTATTTTTTTTTTTGGTAACGAAACAAAAATTTAATCCGAATTTTTCTCTTAAGCTTTGTTAAATTGGAAAACTTAAATTTTTCCGTTAAATTTATATTGTTTCATTGTCGTCGTACAAACAAACAAACAAACAACCAAACAAACAAATTAAAAATTGTTATGTACAATCTCGGTCGTTAATTTTTTAAAATATTTTTTTTATTTTTTTTTACGTAACTTAATGACCCTATCAAGGTAAAAATAGTAATAATAATAATAATAATAATAATAATTAATATTTTTAACATGCGTGATTTTAAATAATTTTTTTTTTTTTTGTAATTTTGTTTTGTTTTTTAAAAATTCGGCGGCGACATTTATATCAATGAACGAGAGCAAATAAATATTTTAGATTTAATTTTTTTTTATAATGCAAGACGTGTTAGATTTATTAGAAAAGGTCAGGGTTAAGGTCAAAGCGAGAAGTCAAAGTAAGTACCGGGTAAAAGTACTTATTCATTTTTTTTTCTTTTTTGCGGTTTGAAATTATTTTTTTTATTTAAAACCGAGACTTTATTTATCGTGGGGGGGGGGGGAGGAGAGAGATTTTCGTTGAGGGAAGAAAGTAAAAAAGAAAAAACCGACGGCGAGACGGTGAAAAATTAAAAATACAACAGTAGAGAAGAAAGAAAGGAAAATAAAAGAAAACGAATAAAAATAATAAAAAAAATGAATTCGTTTAAGGTAATAAAAAGGAAAATAAAGAAAGCGTCGAAGGAAAGAATCCAAAAAACAGAAAAAAAAAGCAGAAAAAGGAAAATGGAAAAAGGAAAACAATTTCGAAAACAATGTTTCATGCCAAAACTGGAAAAATTATTTTTTTTTTTTTTTTTGCAACGCCCAACGATAAACAAAAAATTATTTTATCATCCCCCTTGATTTGATTGCCAAAAAAAATTTTTTTTGGGGAAACTTTTCACGAATGGGAAATTCCAATTGAAATCCTCCTCCCCCCCCTAAAAAAAAAAAAAAAAAAAAAAAAAAAAACATTCGGGTGGCGACGACATTTTAAAAATGCCTCACACAAACTCCATTAAAACGGGAAAGTGGGAAGTGGGAGGTAAGGGAGAGAGAAAAAGGTGGCTGAAGAAAGAAAACATTTCCAACATTTATATGTTTATTTTATTATTATTATTATTTGTGAGATTGTGTTGTTGTTGTTGTTGTGTTTCTTCGTAAGCGCGAATTCATTGTTTTCTTACAACAAAAGAAATTGGAAAAGGTTATATCCTTTTGTAAATATTTTGCGGTCGTGAAAAAAAAAAAATTTTATTTTGAAATTTCTTTTGGTTCGAACGTAGAAAAAAAAAAATTTGTTTGTTTTTGTTTCGAATATTATTATTATTATTATTATTAATAACAAACATTTTTAATTTTTCGAAATAATTTTTCACGCCCCGATTGTTTTGCATCCAATTAAAAACTGACCTGGAAAAAAAAAAAAAGAAAAATTTCTCTGAGGAAAACCCGAAATTTATTTTAAAATATCGCGTTTTCCTATTTAAAAATAAACCGGAAATAGAAGGAAAAAAAATTCATTTTGACCGAAATTCGGCCTTAATCATTTCTTTTATTTTATTAAAAAAAAAAAAAAATGAAAAAAAAGAAAACAATGAAAGCTTAAGTTTGATTTTCTGACGGCCGTGGCCAACTAAAACAATATTATTATTATTATTATTATTATTATTATTTACAAATGTTTAAACAAAAAACAAGAAAACTTCTTTTGAAAAAATTTTCTTTTTTTTTCTTTCTGTTTTGTTATTTGTTATTATTATTAATTGTTGAAGGATATCGTAACTTTTGTTGTTGTTGTTGTTGTTCACCGAAGAATGATAAATTCCAAACCGGAAAATTTTTTTTTTGTTGGTGTGACGTAAACGTTGAAAAATTCACGCTCAACTAATTTGCTAAAAAAAAAAAAAAAAAGAAAGAAAAATCTTATGCGTTTTAATGATAAACTAAACTAATTAACAAAACATTGATAAAATTTTTTGCTTCGAATTAAAGATACTCCATTCTGATTAATATCAGCAAACGTGATTGCTAGTAAGAAAGGCATGTAAATCGTAAGTGCAACAACCATAACAACAAACACACTTTTAGAATATAAAGAGGAAAAAAAAAAAATTAAGACAAAGAAGTAAAAAACTGTTGTTGTTGTTGAAGACACGCCTTCAGGCACTTTCTATTTCTCGTCGTCGTCGGGGTCGTAGAAGGAAAGGAAAAAAAAACGTGGAAATAACAAAAAAAAAAAATAAATAAATTAAAGAATGGTTTTTTTTTATTCGAACCGCATTGAAAGAAAAAGTGAAAACTAATTGAAAAAATATTAAGGTACGCAACGAGTTAATGATGGCCATTTTTAAAATCCGGAAGAAGTACAACAATCAATGTTGGATGAGATGGTAAAAGAAAGAAAACATTAAGGATAAATTTTTTTTTTTTCGAGCGCGAGTTTAAATGCTTTTTTTTTTTTTTTTTTTTTTTTTAATTTTCGTTTGTCATCGTTGGCCTGTGACCTCACCGACCGACCGATCTAATACAAAATATAACAACAACAACAAAAAAAAACGAGAAAATATCATCTTGCCATCATTCATCTTGACACACATAAA